GACAAACAAGAGGCAGGTGCTGAGTCTGGAACAAGCCAAAAAAAAACCCTTGGCAAGGCGAGCAGGCAGAAAATAACCGGCGGAAGGCAGAGAGATGAAACTGAGGGAGTGGTGAGCTGCCATAGGCCCTGCCTCTGCCAGTACTACTCAGCAGATTTCATCATGGGGGTGATCACATATCAAATTTCAACAGGGAAGTGATCACAACATTTTACAACTGCTAAAACACTGAAAATCATGGCCTAGCCAAGCTGACATCAGTCTTAACCATCACACCCTCCAAAAAGACTCTCTAATAGTAAGTACTTTTCTTCAGGTGTGGGCTATTTCACATGAACGTACAATGGTTACTATGAATGACTGGTGGAAATCCTGGTGGTGTAGTGGTTAAGAGCTACTGCTAACCAAAAGGTCAGCAGTTCAAATCCTCCAGGAGCTCCTTGGAAACTCTATGGGGCAGTTCGATCCTGTCCTGCAGGGTCGCTGTGAGTTGGAATGAACTCGATGGCAACTGGTTTGTTTTTTTTGGGTTTTTTGGTAGATATAGGGTAGGTGGGTTAGAGCTTGGAAGTAGATCTGAAGACATTTGCTGTTACTATACCCTGAATGGAGAAAAGATTGACGTTGTCAAGGATTTCATTTTACTTGGATCCACAGTCAACAGCTATGGAAGCAGCAGTCAAGAAATGAAAAGATAAATTGCATTGCTCAAATCTGCTGCAAAAGACCTCTTTAAAGTGTTAAAAAGCAAAGATGTTACCTTGAAGACTAAGGTGTGCCTGACCCAAGCCATGGTGTTTTCAGTCACCTCATATGCATGTGAAAGCTGGACAATGAATAAGGAAGACTGAAGAAGAATTGATGCCTTTGAATTGTGGTGTTGGTGAAGAATATTGAATATACCGTGGGCTGCCAAGAGAACAAACAAATCTGTCTTGGAAGAAGTACTACCAGAATGCTTCTTAGAAGCAGGGATGGCGAGTACTACGTCTCACATACTTTGGACATGTTATCAGGAGGGATCAGTCCCTGGAGAAGGACATCAGAGGGTCACTGAAAAAGAGGAGGACCCTCAACAAGATGGATTGACACAATGGCTGCAACAATGGGCTCAAGCATAACAACGATTATGAGGATGGCGCAGGACTGTGCAGTGTTTCGTTCTGTTGTATGTAGGGTTGCTATGAGTTGGAACCGACTCAGTGGCACCTAACAGCATACCCCAAAGAGTTAATGGTGAACAGAAACGTATAAGTATCTCTTGGGCAGTGATATGGATGGCTAGTTAGGGTGGCTTAGGATCTTTGAACAATAATAATAAAGGATTTTTCCTCCCCTGAATCCTTTGAATGGAAGAGAACAGATGAAGGGGAAAAGGATGCCAGTCATCCATTTTACCATAAGGAGTACTGTGTTTTTCACAAATAGCACACCCACGTAAATAATGTGCGCGTGCACACACACACACACACGCACACACACACACATAATGTGCAAAAACGTCAAAATTGTGTAGAAAAAAGTTCTAGCATAGTGTGCCCATGCATATACCTCACATGTCTTGGAACATTTCCAGAAGTGAATTTTGGCCTCATTCAATAGGCCAAAAATATTACTTTAGATCATATTTGTATAATAAAGGTATAAGCCATGGTCAAGAAGTCATGGATCAAGTTGGTAGTACCCCAGTAATTGGAAAATAAACAATTGAACCTGAGTGTTCATTTCTGTTAATTTGATAATTATATCCTCCTCACTTTTGAGTCATCAGTCAGAACCTTGAACCTACTGAAGCCTGTGCATAAATCACAAGCTATCAATTGGAAGTGTAAACAAAGCGAAGCCTGCACTGGCATAAATGGCATCAAGTAGCTATCAATAGGAATCTTGAGTCAGTCTGTATTGACATTATCATCACAGTCATCTTCTGACTGTGGCTTTTCATTGGAGGAGTAAACAAAGCTCAACAGTTGAATGTGAAGACCTTATCATATCATCTTAAGTGAAACCAGTAAGCTATCCTAAAGCCAAACCCAACCCACTGCTGTCTAGTCAATTCTGACTCATAGCGACCCTACAGGACAGAGTAGAACTGGCCCATAGGGTTTCCAAGCCTGTAAATCTCTATGGAAGCAGACTGCCACATCTTTCTCCTGCAGAGCAGCTAGTGGATTCGAACCACCGACCCTCTGGTTAGCAGCCGAGCACTTTAACTACTGCATCACAAGGGCTTCTCTAAGCTGCGTTAGTTCTGCTTATTTCATAGTCTAATTATGTCTTATTAGTACCAATGTCTTGCACTTGGTTTAGGAAAATACCTACCTTAAATGAAATTTCCATGAGATCAGTTTTATCTCGGTAACATTCAGTCTGTTGGACAGAAAAAAAAAAACAGGTTGAATTCAGCAACATGTAAAAAAAAATGCTTATGAAAATAATGTGTAAAGGGGTTGCACAGTTTGCAAAAAAGATATAATGCATGCATTAATTGCGTAAAAATACAGTAAGTAGGTGGGAAACCAACCAGACATGTAGACAGATTCTTTTATTTGTCCCACTTCCATTTTTGTCTGCCCCATTTGGGTCCTTCTGTCTCCTCCACAGCAAATATTTTAGTCTCCCCCACCCCCCATCTTTTCTCCTTATGCATATTCCTGTGTAGATATATGTACGTTTTAAATAAAATTCAAATCATTCTTTGTATACTGTTTTTATAGCCTACATTTTCCACTTATATTTTATTCCTGTAATCATTCTATTTTAACTTTTTAAAAAATTCCCTTTTGGGCAGGGTTAAATAAATTATGAAGACAGCCATATGATTGAATACTACATTAAAAAAACCTACTGCTGGTGAGTTGATTCTGACTCATAGCAACCCTATAGGGCAGAGTAGAACTGCTCCATAGGGTTTCCAAGGAGCAGCTAGTGGATTTGAACTGCTGACCTTTTGGTTAGCAGCTTCAGCTCTTAACCACTGTTGGGTGAGGGCTCCAGTACTACATTAGTCACTTAAAAATCATAGCTTCTAAAGTTTGAAATCATGTCCTTATTTATGAGGTACTGTAAGCGTCTTAGAGCCCTTGTGGCACAGTGGTTAAGAACTCAGCTGCTAACTAAAAGGTCGGTGGTTTGACTCCACCAGTCACTCCTTGGAAACCTTATGGGGCATTTCTACTCTGTCCTACAAGGTCACTATCAGTCAGAATCGACTCCATGACAACAGGACAGGATAAGCGCCTTTGATAACGTGGCCTATTTTAAGATGTTGTACATTATAGCAGCCTGGGAATTGTATTATTTTTATAGTAGTGTAGATACTTTTGTGGTAAACCTTTAGATGGCAGCATCACTCACCATAAACTGTACTTTGAACAGAATTTCTCAGATGCATGAGGTGTTTGAGACAGAAGGATTCTGCTCCATCAGAATCACCTCTTCGTTGTGCTACATATCAAGCTGAGGCCCCGGGAGGTTAGGACTGTAGCTCAGGCCCGAGGTGGGGAGAGCTATTGACCCCTGCCTGGCACTCTTTCTCCCACTTGTTCTTTCACTGATGTGAAATGTTTCCTGTCTCTGCCGCCTTATTAAAAAACACACTTTAAGTATAAGGCAACCAAGTAGGTTATTTCGGTCTGCAATGTAATGTAATGTTTGAAAGAAACAGGCAGAATATGTAGTCGTTTTCTAACAGTTTCATTGAGATATAATTCACATCCATAGAGTTCATCCGTTTAACAAGTACAATTCTGTGGATCTTAGTATGTTCAAAGGTTGTGTGACTGTCACCACAATCTAATTCTAGAACATTTTCATCACTCCCCAAAACCCTACACTCCTCAGCCATCACTTGCAACTCTGTCTTTGCCCACCCCCTACCCCCTAAGCCCCGGGCAACCACTAAGCTACTCTCTGTTTCTAGATTTGCCTATTCTGGACCTTTCATACGAATGGAATCATACAATCTGTGGTCTTTCATGACTGGCTTGTTCTACTTAGCACTATGTTTTCAAGGTTTATCCATGTTGCAGCACGATTCAGTCCTTCATTCCTTTTTCTTGCCCAATATATTCCATTGTGTGGATACAACACGTTTTGTTATCATGAGGACATTTGACTATTATGAATAATGCCACTATGAACGTTTGTATACAAGTTTTTGCATGAATATATGTTCACATAGGCTTGGAATTGCTGGGTCACATGGTAACTATATTTTTAAACTTTTGAGAAACTGCTGAACTTGTTTTCCGAAGGGGCTGCACAATTTTATATTCCCACCAGCAATGTGTGAGAGTTCCATGTAGTCTTATTAAGAATTTCAGATTTTTAATGATAAGTAGGGGGAGGTGAAAGATAAGACTCTCTGTCTTTCGTGTCCCTGAATTCCTTGCTAGACTAGCTGCTGTGCCTTTTTGAAGGCAACTGTATGAGCTGCCAAGAAAGCAATCATCTTCTCTGCCCCACACAATTACTGTGCGTCACCAGTCAGATAAAATGCCTGTGTTATATGGCTGCTCAGAGCGTGTTGATATTACAGGCCGGCTGTTTGTAATCCTTGCCTCCTGACTTTCGAGATACCAAGCAACCAAATAGTCTTTGTCCCAGTTAGAGAAAAATTCTGAATAAAGAACCCTCAACCACAAGCTGCCCAGGTTTGAACATGTCAAAATCACCTACTTGATATACACCGAAGACAGCTGCAGAGATTTCACAGCAAAAGAGCAGCTTTTGTTTTTGTCAGAGTTTACATTCTCAAAACTGAGCTGACCCTATTTCTTCTTTGGCAGCCCAGACTGAACATTCCCGAGTCTGTACTGAAACGGCTGTGTGTCTGTGTGTGTGTGTGTGTGTGTGTGTGTGTGTGTGTGTGGAAGGGAGGGGAAGGGCTGGCTCTTCCTTTAGGCATATTTGGGTCCTGGTAAGGACACGCACTGTACATTCTGAAGCTTTGTTTGCATCTGGAAAAAATTAGACACACAAAATCTTTCCCACTGCAGGTCCTGTCAGAAAGCCTAAGTATGTGGAAAGCCCCAGAGTGCCCGGAGATGCAGTTATAATCCCGTTCAGAGAAGTGTCCAAGCCAGCAGAGCCCAGTGAGAATGGTAAGAATATGTTTTCTGTGATATTTTTTTTTCCCCCTAAGGATTTTACATAAAGGCACTCTGCATTTCAGAGTGAAACTTGAGTGCCTCTTGCAGGAATGCTTTGCTGAACTGAATGTATTTGGGAGGTTTTTTCTTTTGGCAGTTACAGAGATTTGTTTAGCTAATGTAAATTTTTGAAATTAGATACCCAGTGTAGGAGTAATTAAGTGGGTGCATATGCATTGTTTAAGGGTTGAATCTTATTTCCTCTGAATTTTGACCCATGAGGGATTGGGGGATGTGAAAAGCCAGCAACTGTACTCTTTCTAAGAATTTTTGTTTTGTTTTTATTATTCCACCGTTATTAGAATATTGAATAACAAGCTTTGGCTGTAAAGCTGAAACTGGATAAAGCTTACAATAACTAGCTTTCTTAAAGGCATTTGGTAACTTTTGAAAGTGCCTTTTTTTTTTTTTTTTAATATGTAACTTTTTCCTTTAGGGGACATTGAAGTAGGGGCCAAAAAAATTTCAAATTGATCAAAACCTTTTAATGAAGATATTTTATATTTTGCTTTCTTTTCAATATCTGGAAATATGTATAGCAGACATTATGAACTTGTAGCATTTCATAGATGTATTAATAGCTCTTTTGTTTTCATTGTTTTTACTCAATTCAAGAATTCACCTGTTTGTTCCTTTCTAGGCAATCCTCAACTCACAAATGCTATATGGTCTTGTAATTTGAGTGTTTTGAATTTGCGTCCTATTCTTCTATAGAAACATGTGGTTAGGGACTCTGGCCTATGTAGAGAAGCGTACTTTACCCTTGATGTAGACAAAAATTTATGTAGTCCTGCTGAAAGAGAACTTAGGGAAACTCATCCTCATTTCCACTTTGGAATACTGAGTATCTTCCTCTCCTTCTCTGCTGGTGGTTGAAGGAGGTGGTTCCCTTATGTTCTAGCCTCTGTGTATGGATTTTTGTTTCTGGTGGTGAATAGTGGGGAGTGGGTATGAAGTAGGACGTGGGAGAAAAATGGTGTAGGGGTGGTTGTGAAAATAAGGCTAAAAATGAGCTGAGGGGAAGGATTGGCAGAAGCTGAAAACCAGGAAGAGAAGAGGAGTTAGGGAAGGTAGATGAAGAGATGGGGCCTGGTGCTGGGCATTATGGGCAGGGAAGAGGTGCCATTTCAGGCATCTTGGTATGAGAAATTCTACCCTTTTCCTCTCTGTTCAGGGCCTTACTTATTTGGTTTAGGTAAGAGGTTCACACAGGATTTCTGCTAAGAGGGGACAGAGTGCCACTTGTGGGGTGGTGAAGAGAAGAGAATCCACAGTGGTGTTTGCTTAGGACAGCCATTCACTAATATACAAGGCGTCTCTGTGTTGTGAAACTCATGTGTACGGGGTGTCCGTGGGCCTGTCTGTTCTCTCTCATTTTTATTCTCGATGGGGAAAGGAGAATAAAAACCTATTCCTCTGGAAGTGAATATCAGTTATATAATTTACAGAGCTGTCTATGCATTTCAGAAAAAGCTCACACCCCTTACCCCATCCCTACCCATTCCCCAAAGCCTTTCGAGTCTGGTCTTTTACGCCCTGGTGTTTGACTGGCCTAGACTCCATCCTCCTGGCTGGGGGTATTTCTGAGGTTCTATGTCAGATTTAGACTCTCCCTGAGGTTGAGAAATTTAGGATTTTTATTGAGCAAAGAAAAGCGGTTATATGCAGTTCCCATTGTGGAGGACTTTTCTCCCCTTGCCCAAGGCAGAATTGGCCATTTTTTCTTGGGAGGTGGATGTGGGTCATCTTTATAATTTGGTGCGATAAAAAACAAACCAAACCAGTGGCCATCAAGTCAGTTCTGACTCATGGTGACCCTTTGTGTGTCAGTAGAACTATGCTCCATAGGGTTTTCAGTGGCTATGATATTTCAGAAGTAGATCACCACGCTTTTCTTTTGAGGTGCTCCTGGGTAGATTTAAACCACTAACCTTTCAGTAAGTAGCCACGTGCTCAATTGTTTGCACCACCCAGAGCTAAATTCAAAGGCAGTGATTGGTATTGCTGGAGTAGCCTGGGGTTTGTGTGTGCATTTACTCCTGAGACCTGAGCCTTCTGATTAAGCGTCATCAGTCTCTGGGGCAGACTAGAATTATGACATACCTGGACTGTGAATAAAGATCAGACGTTTCCATTTTGTCTAGAACTAAGAAACATGAATTTTTACTTCTTAGGTTTTTTTTTTTGAAGATGTCCAGGAAAGGGGTGTAGTTTGTGTTTGTGGGCACATGGCCATGCGTGAAAATAACCAAGATGTTGGTAGAAGCCCCACAGAGTTATCATTGTGTTGGTTGATGATGAGGCAATTGCCTGACAACATTGAACTTGATAATTAGTAAAAGGGTGGTGTGTTTTATAACCCCTGTGGAATCCTTTATGTTTCAGTGGGGTTAATTAAGTCTGCCATATTAAAAGTAAATTTTGTGTCCAGGTCATTGAACCTAAAGGGGAGGCTGGAGCTAACTAAAACAAATAATTGAGTTTGAGTGTTAACTCAAGCCAAGTACAGATACATGATTAAAACAGACTCTTATTTCTATGGTTTAATATCAACATCATTACATAAGTTTTAATTTAAAATTTAGTCTAATGCTTTCCATAAATGATATGTGCCTTTAAGTCTCTATTTCTTTTTTGGGGTTGTCAATAATAGCATTTCAGAGTTCACCAGACTAATAAACTCTATTGAAAACAGTTCCTTGTGAAATGCTTTTGAAATTTCATATAGACTTGTGAAATCCGGTTTTTTCTAAATGTTTGAAAAACTCTTCCCAGACTAAGCTGCCTCACTTTTGCTTTGGTGACTATGCAGCTCCATACATTTTTGATTCTTAGCTCTCTATTTGAAGTTTAAATCAAAGTAAAACAAAATCAGTGAATGCTTTGAATTTATTAATTTATAGATGATTGCATTTATGTATAATTTGCATATTTTTGCCATGGGAAATGAGTAAGAGGGCATGGGGCAGATGAATAGTTTTGTTGTAAGCAAAGAATGTTTAAGTTTGAATTTGCCTGGAAACATCTTTAGGAAAAGACATTCCACATCATTCAATATTTTTGAAAAACTGCATTTTCTAATTTTTTACTCTGGGGAAAAAAAGAGTAATTTAATGAGATCCTCAAACAGAAGACAAACTCCCTTTTTTTTCCTTCATGGTATAACAAGCTGTATGTGCTGTAGAGTAGGCTCTTTACAAATAAGGTTCCTATTACTTAACCAGCATGTTGTTTAGGTGGAAAAAAGTCATTTACCCACAAAACAATACCTCTGCCTTAAGGAGGGAAAAAAACAGATAAATTTGAGAGGATTACTAAATTACACTAAATTATAATAGGATTCACAGCTGTGCTTCTTTGAACTAGGGACAACCATAATCCATTTAGGTTTGCTTTAATGTATCATTAGCTACTTGAGCAAGCGTAGATGGGGAGGGGTGAGAAAGTTTTAGTCTTATGAGTCATTGCCTGGTGAAGATCAGTCTCAAAATATGATGAAACTTTTTTCCTGGCAGTCTGGTTAGCTAGTAAAACTAACATACATGAACCAAGAGGATAATTAAATGTAAAACTTTCTTATTGGGAAGGTGGGCGTATTTCTTAGATATATTTTGAATTCTTTTGTTTTTTATTACAGACTGTTTCAGACTTTCAAAAAGATGTAGCGAATATAAAAGACATAAAGATTATTGACACCTGTCTACCCACTACCCAGTTTAAGAAATAAAACATAACTATGTATTTCCCCCTGATCATACCTTCCCCAAGAGGTAATGTGAGTCCTGCTTTTGGGAATATCTTTTAACTTTCAGCTTCTTAGAGTGATGATGCACCATTTGATTTTTTAAAGTTAGGAAGGTGAAAGGTTAGCAGTAGAGAAGGGAGGACATGTGTGGTGGAAGAGAGACTCTAGGTAAGGTATCCATTCATTGTACGTTTCTATGCTGTGAATGTCCCAATGCTGAATGCTATTTGAGATGGGTTATCAAACATAACTATTTTATTTATGGAGCCTTAGAGATTGGTAGGGGAGAAAAGACCTGTATATCTAGTGACTAGAATATAAAGGGAAAGTAGTGTTAACTAACCCAAGCTGTGTGATGAATCTGGGAGTTCCATAAATGGCGGTTCTGAGCATGGGAAAGACTTAATTGGCGCTCTGCCGTAGATTTATCTGGCAACAGAGTGTAGGTTGGAATAGGGTAGGAAAGAGACTAAGATCAGAGAGAATGATTAGAAAATTATTTGAGGAGTTCAAGTGAGAGAATAAGGTCTCAAATTAAAACAGGGTCAGGAAAGAAGAGGTAGGGAATAGGAAGATTCTTGAGGAGCTGCAAGGACCTGGAAGCCATAAGAGACTAAGATGATGACCTCAAGGCTTTGAGAGATTACACTATGAGGACCCTAGAGGAGGGGGAACAGTTTGGTTTGAGTTCAGTTTTAGGCATTTTGAGTTTTAGGTACTAGTGGAACCCTTAGGCAACTAATAGTGGGAAACTCAACCTAGGGCTCGAGAAAGAGCTCAGTATGTAAACCAGGGGAGCCATTTGTTTGCAGGTGACACGATGAAATTGGGTGAGTTAGTTTAGGGGAAAAAGGTCACTGAGAGAAGAGAACTGAGAAACCTTGGTGTTTTTCTTACAAGCTGTGGATAAGAGGTGGAAGAAACACCAGTGATGGCTGAGAGAACCCACAAAACTGCAGCTTACTGGAAACCATGGGTTTTCCCTCTATGTCTCCTATGACCATTGCCACCTATTCCCTTGCAGAACAGAGGGTTTGCAAGGTCAAAACTCAACAGAAAAATTGAAGGGATATGGGCTGTTTCAGTAGAGCTGTGAAGGCAACTTAATTTTAGGTAGTTGATGAGGAAATGAATTGGTGAGGATAGACACCTTTTTTCCCAAAGAAGTTGAGCAGATAAGAGAAGATAAGAGATTAGGGTGAGAGGT